GGGGGGGTGTGTGTGTGGAGCTGAGGATAATTTTAGGTGCCGGCTCTGCCCCGGGACAGGGAATTGCAGGGTGCGAGGCCCGAACACGAGCAGGGCAGCTCCAGCAAGCGCGTCCACAGCCCAAAAATACCCTCCTGGGCTCCGGGGGGGTGGTTTAAGTGGCAGCTTTGGCATCTCGTTTGTACCAGTCGCCTGTGATAAAAAAATAAGGGCAGTTTGTTCAGAGGCTGGAGGCAGAGGGTGTGGGCAGGGAGGGGACACAGTGGCAGGGCCTTAAAAACATGTAGTTAAGAGACCACCAGAGGTTGGGTTTTGTCTTGCCTTTTAATTAAAAATGTCTAAGAATGGAAGGACGCAAACAATTCAAAAGGTCTGCAGAAACCCCAGAGCTTTCTGCAACCTCTGTGGGCTGGACAAGGGCCCTCAGCCCTGGGCTGGCCGCTCCGGGCAATGCCACGTTGCCCCGGTGCTTCAAGTCATAGTCCCCAAAGTTCTAAAGTTTCCCCATTTTGGCAAAATTCAGTTCCAGCCCCAGCCCAAGAAAAACTCTGAGCATTTCTGCAGTCAAACTGTTGCTATTCCGAGACCTTTCTTAACGGCGCTTGCTCCCCGTTGGGACACAGACCTTTACATACCGACAGCTGCCTGCAGTCACCCCTCTCCTGAGAAACAGCCCTGGGTTATCAAGGAAATATTTTATCATCTATTTAGTCTGAGACATTCTGGCTTTTTGATGCAGAGCACACCCTCTTTCCTCTGCACTGCGTGGGTTTTGCTGTTTCTCCTTTCATGTCCCCCACCCTGGTTCGCCTTTGGAGTTCCAGCAGCTCCTGTTAACCCAGGAGACGTGTCCAAGCGATTTGTCAGTGGGCACAGGACAAGTGGGAAACTCCAAAGGGCAAATGCCGAGCTGCCTTCTGTCTCCTTCCCACTGAAAGGCAGCGGGGCAAAGATCATTCCAGAAACATCACAGACGGAGGAGTTTGGCAAGGGTGATCCTGTATCCCAGTGATTTTCCACTGTTAAGAACCCCGGAGAGCAAGTGAGGACAGCGCTTTCTGCATTGGGCTGACCTGGCTCCTGGCAACCCCTGAATAGACAGGCAACCTTCTTATGAACACACGGATTCCCCATCATGGGTGTAACATCCTTGTGCTACAACAAGAAACACACTGATGCACACTCTTCTCTCCAAGTTCGTCCTGTTTTTTCACCAAGTGGATTGCATAAGCACATGAGCAACCCTAAACCCACAAGGTCCACGTCGCTGCCCGGCTGGCCCATCCCTGTCCTGCTTTATTTCCATCCTGTGGCCCACACAACAACTTTGGTTAAGACTAGTTCAGTAGCCCCCACAAAAATCAAGCTGACCACCCATGTCGGATCTCCTTGCACCGCCACCCATGGTCTGCAATACAGATTTTGGGGGAGTTCTGAGTAAAACCCTGAGTAAACCCCTTTTACTCTGAGTAAAAACTAAGTTTTCCTTTACTCATGAGGGGAGCTAATCCCTATAGCTCAGTCCTCCAGCCACATGCATCAGGAAACTTCGATTGCAGCTGGTCACCTCGTGCCAGCTCCTCAACACAGTAGTCTCTAACAAGCAGTGTTTCTTTCATAGCAGTAAATTTTTGATGGCTGAATAATATTTAGATGGTCAGTATCAGGGAAAACCTCAAGAACCAACAAGGCAGAAGACAGCAAACTCCATTCATTTCATCTCACCACGTGGGGTGACCTTCCCAAGCATCTCTTGTGGGTCCCGTCCCCCCCCCGCAATTGCAGGGGTCAGGACACCCGACAAAGTGGCCAACTCTGCTCAGTGCAGGGTACAGCAGTCTGAGCTGAGGTCTCCCTCAGTTTCTCCTGTTGACACAGGCTTCAGTTTTGTATTTAATGCTAAAAGTCACTATGGAAGAAACAAACAAGGACTTGGTAGGAGAGGTTAGGACATCACCCAGCCGGAACCAAAGCATTTTATGGGTTCTGTTTTATAGAACATGCAGAAATCAGGAAGAACAGGCAATGAGATTGGGCTTTTTATTAGGTGGGATAAGCTTCTGCTGAGGTGGCACAAGAGATGCACAGATAATGGTCACCATCTCCACAGAGTACAGGCCAGCGGTACCAGCTGCTCTGGCCACTCTCACACCACCACGCTGGTGAGCAGAGCAAGATGATGCTCTCAGTAACTGCAGCCCACTTCGTAAAACACATTGCACCGTCAGCTGGAAATCCTATTCTTTTACATGGAAGTTCAATCTCTGTCTGCTTTGTCATAAACCAAGCCTAAAAATCCTCCTACTCCTTGCCAGTCATCCAATATAACTGACACAAATCATCACAACGGTTTCTAAAGAGACTGACAGAGGTGATAAATCTCTCACTGCAGCCTCAAGTTGCTGAGCATATTTAGAAAATACTCAAGAAAAAACCTCTATGGGCTCTGTCTCAGCGCAATTCATAATCAAGCTCAGACAATTCTGCTGGCAAGAGCCACAGTGACGAGTCACTGCAACTGCAACATTGACTTATGTTCAGAGGCTTTAGTTAGGGAAATATGACTTAAGCAATGTGAAAAGTTGAGGAATCAGGGACATTAGTGATTAATTAGAAACAAGCTGCAAATTGGAAATGTTTTCTACCTAATTCAGCAAGTTACTTCATGCATAGATTCCAACGCCGATACCCTCAGAGGAGGAAGTTGCCTTCCTTCATCCACTTCTTCCAGAAGCAGGCAGCAATCCTCTCCACTGCCATCTCCTGGCTAATCCTCCACAAACTCTTCCTCCTGCAGGTCTATCTCCTCCTCACCAGAAAGGGCACAGGTTAAATTACAGCCCCCTGGGGAATGATTTCTCTGTGGGATGGGAAAAGCCAAGAGCTAAGACAGCAACGTAACGTATCACAAGTTACAATAGCTTAAATTAAACCACTGAATTTATCTTCTGTGACAATCTATCATTATTTCTGTGGGGTTTTTTAAACAGTAGGCAGAGTGGATGGATTACTGTAATCAATGAAAATAAACATTTAAGATGAGTAAATGAAAATCCATGAGACATTGTATAAAACACAGTTGTTTTCTGGTAGTGACAAAAAGCTTAAATCTTCACAGAAAACAAGACAACATTTCAGGCCAAGTAGGAATTTTCCTACAAATTAACAACTCTTAAATTACTAAATATATGATTTCTAAAAGAAAGGGGCACAAACTCTAACTCTAGGTAAACTAGTATATTCTGACACACTCCCCAGTTTCCTTGGTGATGGTTGATGAATCATCTTCCATTACAAACCTGCAACTAGAATGGACAGTTAAGATAACATCCTTCCTTCACGCTCTCATTTCTCAATGCATGGTTCTCCTTCTGGCCCCTGGGAACTAGGTCATCATGCAGCTAAATATCAAATTCATCCTCTCTGTTGACACACAACGCATTTTCTTTAAGCGCCCTCCAGAAACTGCTGCGACAGGGAGGTGCGGGATACCTTAACCTGCTGAAATCACAGGGGTTACATAAGAATCAGAGCCCAGTTACCAAACCAGAGTTTGAACAGGACTCAGGCTTTAATTTTAAGTGTCATAAAACCTTTGGACTATTAACGATATCTAAGGCTTAACAGAAAGATGATACCTTCATGCTTGGGCTGTCTTGGAAGGAATCATTTTTCAGTCTGAACTAATTTTATATATCATTATTCTGAGACATCTCCAGTTGAAACACTGGCTACGTTCTGTTCCCTGCTTAGCTTAAATGATCAGAAACACATTGTGAGAGGAGTAAGATTTCCCAATTGCTATTTTTTGCATTCCCAGCTTTTTGCCTGTTTGTAGTAGCTTCAATATGCCTGCAAAGAGGCAACCGATTCTTATCTCCTTTATTATAACATATGTCATCCAATCTCTAAAAAACCTTAAAAAAGGAGATTATGTAGAAAATCTAAAAGAACTGAAAAGGGAAATGGTGATCCTGTGCTTAGGGCAGCAGTCTGGATCAGAAATAACACAGAGCTCTGCCCCCAGCTGTCACTCATTCAGTGTCAGGCTGGTCTCAGTTCCACATCTGCAGAACAGGAATATTTACTCATCTGACAGTAATACACTGAATTTAATCACACAGGCTGCTCAAGCAGACACACAAATAACCACCACTCAAACCCTTAAATACTAAGTTCTCTTCCACAACAGTTCTTTTCTAATAAACTTTCTAGTTTTATCAAAGCTTCTCGAGAAAGTGGTCTTCATGGTAAAGGTATTAAGTAATTCTCACAGGGTGCAGGAAGGAGGCCAAGAGTTTTAAGCACAGAGATGAAACCATACCAATAGTTTATAGGGGAAGCATGCAAACAACACTTCAATTCATTGCCCTGCATCGAGTTACTCAGGGAAGAAGGAAGGCTGAATTCCTGTTTGAAAAGCAAAACTGGAAACTATTTTGTAATGTGTTGTCTCAGTCTCATTTTGCAAGCTCTCGGACGTGCCAATACACGGCTGCAAAATTATTTTGCAGCTCACAATTCACAGACATGAAACACAACATCCCACAGTTTCTAACTTGCACATCCCCCTTGAACACGCAGCACATGGTAGTGGCACACGTGAGTGACTGAGGACAAAGTTGCGTTCCACTATCAGTTGTCCCATGGTTATTATTCCCAGACTACAGGCAAAACAAAGTTGAGGCAATCTGAAGATGAAATTGCAAAATTAAGACTGTAAACAGAAAGAGCACTTAGCCATAACACACTCACTTTTGTTCAGGTCAAATAAGCAAGAAGTCCAATCCAAGCAACATTACAGAACCTCGGTGTTTTTTTTTCAGTTCAGTGTTACTGATGACAAAGGACTGTCACGCTGCAGCTTCCTCCTGACTTCACTTTGTTAATTCCTTTTATTTCTTGCTGGTATTGGCTCTCATCAGAAATCTAAATGCATTAACTCCAATAGGGGTTCAGGAGAAAGCAGAAAGATGGAAAATTTCAGCTCCCTACATGCCCATCCTTCTCCCTTTAGTACGTTATGCAACTTCTCACATAGGAAAAAAAATCATTACTTTGCATGTCTGAGAAAGATGCTACGTTATGACTTCTGAATGGAGCAACAACTCATTTTCATAACCTTCCCATGCTACTCAAGAAATCTTGTTAGTTATTGCTGCATTAAACAAAAAAAAAATACAACAAACACCACCAGCAAAACCCCCCCCAAACCACCCCACCACCCCCCAATTTCCAAAATCTTCGAACAACTGATTTTGCAACTGTTTGAAGACTGGAAGGTGCAACATCACCAAATCCCTCTCAGCAGGAGGCTGTAACCTCACCATGAGCAGCCAGAGTGACGCAGCAATTCTTGAAACTTCTATTTTAACAAATTAAGTTTGGTTTTCAAATTGCAGTTCTTAGGGGGAACAAAAACCCCCAACAACAACTGAGACAGCCTGCATGTGTCTTGGAAACACCCAAGTGGCTCTCTGAACACTGCCTGCTAGCCATTTTTTTCCAGCTGGGCCATGGTAAACAGCATGGAGAAACAAAATATCTGCTCTTAGGATGGTTTCAGTCCTGTACCTTCCACTCCAAACCAGGAAGAAAAATGTAACTCTGGCAGCTCACCTGAAGAACCTCCTGCTTTCTTAAAAAATTCCCATCAAATCTTCGTATTTCTTCTATTTTTCAGTGATACATGAGTTAAAAAAATGCCCCCAAGCAGCAGCCTTCTGTATTACTCAGCGACATACCACGATTTATTCCTGTATTTTAATGAACCTGGCATACCTGTCCAGCAGGATCAATAACTGGCTTCTCTTTAGGGGTAATCATTTTAGCGGTGTTAACTCTGAACAGACTACGTGTGGATGTATCTTTAAACTGCTCATTAGAATTTTCAATTCTTGCCCTCAGTGGCTCTTCTTATCCTCAGAAAGCACATTAGTTCAGTGGTGTATCAGAAAAATCAAGCAATCCTACTGTCCCTGAAAGGACAGGGGGTATTTCCCTACTAACCTTTAAGCCAAGACTTTGTAACTCACCAATTCAGCTTAAAAGGCTTCAACGACCCTTTGAGAAACCACACACTTAGTTCAGGAAAAGTCAAACCTGTAGTTTCTTGGAAAGACCTCAACTGATCAGCATGAGTGCTATTACAAATTTCTCCTCTGCGCAGAAACAAGATTAAAAATATCTAAGGGAACTATGCCACTGCTGTATAGGTTGATTAAAACAAACAGTAATGACCCTGTTCAGAGTTCTCCAAGTGAAAGATAATAATTAATAGATCACTTCAACAGGGGACTTTTCGTCTGCTTCCGCACCCTACCCAGGAGTTCAGCAGGTTTTTCAGGAAAGGGAATTCAAACAAAAGCTATGTTTCCTTTCTGGTGAAAAATTTTACATAATTTCTCACTTTGGAATGTGTTTAAACTGTGCATTATAATGCTGCAGTACATGGTGCAGAGCCTTAGACCACGGAAAACCGCGTAAGAATTACAAATGCAACCCCATATCAGACACATATCCATTTTCATGCTAAATTAGAGGGATTAGCAAGACATGGATGAAAGAAATATTTAGCAATATGATGAAATAAAAGGACAGGACAGACCGCTAACATTTAGTCCAACGGCTGTACTCAGGGAGCCTCCTTTGACTACAGTGTTTGTGTACATAAGTTCTCAGTACACAGAGAGATGGCCTACATTGCAAAATATACCCACTCTGTACATATATGTAGGCCATGACTCAGTACAAAGGCAGCTATTCCCAATATTCAGAGACATTTCATCAGAAGATATTTGCTAATTCCAATCTGTAAAAGCAGCAACAGATCGAGAAAGCAAGAGGATTTATTAAAAAAAACCTAACCAACCCAACACAGGGCCAATTTTAAAAATGGAAAGTAAAGAAAAAAAAACAACCCCACCAAAACCCCAAACCACTAAATCCCTCTCAAATCTTCATCCTCATTTAAAAAGGCACAGCTAAGAAGACAGGAGAATGTGGCACTGTCCAAAAAAAAAAAAAAAAAAGCACTAATTATTTCTGAGACCAGAGGGCGCCCCCTGTGATCCACGACAAACTTTTTCTTAGGCATCAGAATAAATCTGAACAGGTCAGCTCAGGCAGAAATTATCTTGGTGGGTCAGACAGCAGTAATGAAATTAATGTAATTCTAATTTCCTATTCAGAACTATATTAGAAGCTTAATACCTGTAAAATTTCTTATGGCTGCCAGTATAAAAATCTTTATTAAGGACAGCTGTGAACCCAAAGGTTGACTTTTTATCTAGTGTCTACAGGAAATGCAAATACTTGCCTTTGTTTTGAACTCCTCTCTCTTTAAGGGTGGATTTTAATTCTTTTACCATGTCTTCAATATATATACACAATATATTTTGCAATTTATTGTTAGCACAATATACAAAAATTTAAGAATTAATTAATTTATACCTTTCAAGGCCAGCGAGACAATACCACTTAGTAGTGCTGGATTACTTCTGTCTCCTAAAACAGTTACTAATTTGAGTTTAATTCCAGTTTTGAACACCCTTAAATCTCCACAAAATATTACCAAGTTTCATTCACGTGCACACAAGCCCTGGGAAGATGAGTGAGTGTTCCTTCTTCCCCACCTGCACACTTTGAAGAGAACACAGTGAATTGACAGGAAAGAGCATTCTACAAAAGAAAACAACTGGTGAAATATTACAAAAATGTTTTCAAGATACAAGTAAAATAACTATCATGGTAGAAGGCAAATTCATCTGATGGAAGCTAGTAAGTGATGTGCTATGAAAGACTGTTTAAATCTTAATGCCCATGTCAAAACTTGCAGTGCCACACTTCTTTCAAATTTAAACTGTAAAAGAGAAAAAACATCTTATAGTCATTAATTTTCAATTACCTTTTTTCTACTTCTGAAATACTTGAAGATTTAATATATAGCCTAGAGAGGTATGGTATTTATCAGTTCCAAACTGATGAGCTTGCAGCTAATGATGTTAATTTCTGAAAAGTCAAATGGTAATTCTAAATTGAAGTAGTGCATTATAAGGTTATCTATAATTACTCAGTAGAATAGGTACTTCCAGTCTCACTGTCTTTTAACACAAAAATATCATCCTTCAAAGACGTGTGGCTATTGGTTCTAACAAGTACACATACCTCCATTCTATGCTTTTCTAACCAGGATGCAGATCACGTCCAAGCTTGAACTCTACATGAATCTTCTCTGCTCAGCAGTACATATTATGCCAACAACAACAACAAAAAAATTACACACGTAAAAATTATTCCCATTAAAAAATCAACATAATCAGACTGTAAAGACAGAGAGCTGAAACTTTTATAGTCACTCCTGAAAAACAGTAGAGCTCAAAGTTCAGAAGAAGATACAAGAATAGTCGTTTCCATTAAGAATCACTCACATTGGACATTAGGAAAAGGTTCTTCATCGAGAGCGTGGTCGGTCACTGGCACAGGTTCCCCAGGTCACCGAGCCTGCCAAGGAACACTTGATGACACTCTTAGTCACACAGTTGTTCTAGGTGGTTCTGTGAGGAGGAGGGAGTTGGACTCGATGATCCTTAGGGGTCCCTTCCAACTTGACATATTCTAGGATATCTTTATCATAGCATAGTACATACTAGGCTGGAAAAAACTGCCAGTTCATTTTGTCATGAAAACGGGCAAGCGTTTATTTAATACACCTGCATCATCTCTCAGGTAGCCATGTCTCCTAGGTTTAAAGACCACAACCAACACCAAAACCAGAAACTCAATCCATCTTCTATTTGCAAGTCACATGTTCTTTGCTAGCGGGTAAAAAAAGCCTTGTTGAGCAATACATTATGTTAGTTTTTTAAATACTGTTAGTCAATAGAAATATGAAGCCATAAAATAATCATTTAAACACTTTGTGACCCTGAGCAAGTGCCAAGAGTGAAAAAAGTTTGACATTATTAGTGTTCTTGAGTGCCTCACTGCAAGTCGTATATTGTTTTGCATCATATTCTCGAAGGCACGTTACCTACATCCTCTGCAAGTAATAATCAAGCCAAAAAGTATCAACACAACATAACTACCATTTGCATGAATAGAAACAGCCCTGCACAACAGTGTAGCTCAAAACTCCTAAAAAAATGGTAGTTAACCCCACCGATGGTCACACTATCGGTCGTTAAAACGCAAAAGAAATAGTCAACAGATTAAATACATTACAAAAATACGAATCTTTTCAGCTCAGAGGTAAACTTGGTCTGTCACTTACTTGGCTAAAACTGACTAAAACTGTCAAAGGGAAGCACTACCTTTTAAACTGCACACCCTGAGCTCTACCTCCTCTCCTCAACGAACTGAAAATAGCTATTACATGCTCAAGAGACACAACAGGGCAAAGACAAAACATCCAGACAGGCTGCATTGTTGAGATATAACTATTTTTCCAGTGATAACGGCCTAAATTCAGCTCCAAGGGCTCTTTCAGAATTCCACAATTTTCAGATTTAGTTGGGAACACAAGGTGGGCAACAGTAACTTTTGATGTGAGCAGCAATACAAATTAGGCCATCTAAGAAGTATCTGAGCTGTGTAAATAGGAGAGTCAATAATTCAGGCAGGCATAACAATACAAAACAAATAAATCACCACACCTTTATCCAGATAGATTCGTTAGTCTGAGATAATACATAACAAACAAGATCACACAGCTGATGCCTTTAGTAAGGATAAGGCACTGTCCGGTGGACTAGAAGTTTAAAGTTTTCCAGAAAAGATACTGTCCTTTAAACTGCTTAGAAAGCTGATCTCCTGATTGTGTGTTAATTCTGCTGAATCTCCCCCCTTAAAAATGCAACGTTAAAAATTCAGTAAAACTTTGCCTTAGGGTGTAGGTTGTTTTGCGGGAGAGGGAAAAGAAAAAAAGATAATTTAGCCCCACTTTTCAGAAACATTCAAACCAAACCCAAAGTTGATATAATTTGTCTTTGCTCTTCTCAAAGGAAGCATTTTAGCCAGACAAACCAACCCCGTAACCTACTAAATACAGTAAAGCTGATAGAAAACTTTATGCTTAGTTTGTCAGCGTAACCAGGAAGTAGTGGACACACCTGAATACATTCCTTCGTGTTGCACAAATACTGTAGAAGGTCTGCACAGCAATGCAAATCTAAGCAGAAGTGAGAAGCCACAGCAAATCTCAACCTTGAATTTCCTGCTTTTTTTTTTTTTTTTTTTTTTCAACGCTCATTTTCCTTTTCTTGCTGAAATAGGTACTTTGCAAGATATTATACTGCAACACTTTTAGACCAGTATGTCAGTTTTCGGTATGTTTGTCCCAGAAAATGAGGAGAATCTGTTGACATCATGTCACATTATGACAGACTGTTAAGCGGGTTAGATAGTTTAATCTTCTTCCACAGAAAGGAAGTTCATATGTCTCAGAAGGAAAAAATACAAGGTGTATCGTTGCTATGAACTAAGTAATAGAAAAAAACTGTCCCAGATTTTAGAATTCTGAATAGCAGCCTAATACTGTAAATTTATTGAGAAGAAAATCATTTTGCAAAATTGGAATACAATTGATTTACCAAGAATTTCTTAGCATTTAAAAATCATTTAATAACAGGCCTGACCATAAAATAGTGGCACAACAGAAATGTAGGTTGCAAATGTGACGTGGAATGCATAGAAGCTCCAGGGCAGACCAGCCACAGTAAATACAACAGTCATCATCATGAGTGTAAATTCGTAACTGGCTTTTTCTTCTAGAAGGTAAGAGGGTGTATATAAATATTATAGAGGAAACATTTAAAAAAACATTGGTTTATTTTTCAGAAATGCTGGAAGGGGTTTCAGCTCAGTCAAAAACGAGTAAGTTTGTTGGGCCAAAATTGCCCTTTCTGGTTCCTAAAGTTTCCTATGCTTGTTATGAAAAAAAGAACATTAATGATTAGGTGGTAGAAATGGTGAAAAACATCAGCTAAGGAGCTGATGCTCCGCAGAGGATGTGGTGTTTCAAAACACAGTGCTTGACAGCATTAACCTTGAGGAAGTAACGCTAGGAAGAATTTCCACCTTTTCTGCTATTGTGAAAAAAAAAAAAAAAAAAAAAATTAATCCCATTAGCCACAAAAGCCCAATTCATTACCAAGCGGAACAGTAAGTATGACATCTGCCTATGAGGATCTCTGGATGTATAGTTTGGTGGGATTTAATTTAAAAAGCAGCACAGAAGAGTAGGAATTTTAAGGAAAAGACGACTTACAGTACATTGCCTTGGGCCTCTGTCTTCACTGAAGGTGGCAACAAGTTCCTAGATTGCATAATGCTGCTATATTTAGTTTTAGTTGAAGAGAAATACAAACCTGAAAAAATAACAGCTACTCACTGGTTAAAACGGATACATTTGGCATTCCAGCCCACCATCCCTGCACTAACTTGTCATTTCCCCCTCATTGCCTCCCAGGATTATGAAACAGTGACATGCCTACAATTCAAAGTTTCCTATCCTACAACTGTAAAACTTAGATTTGCCGAAAGTCTGACTACGACCCCTAGGAATCATCCCATAATTTTATGCACATTACATTTACGGGATTGAGCTTCACATGGTACATACAGTGCTCAGCATTTTCTTAACAATGCAACTGAAACACCATTGTCTCATTCAAACTTCTCACTCTTACAATCAGCCAGTCAGAAATACCACATTTATGATCTCACTTAATTCCCCTCTCCTAACAACTCCAGGAATTCCAAAAAGTAATCTGAAGAGCAGCATTTGATATGATCCCCAACTTAAAAATCATACCATGAAAAGCCACTAAACCTGGCTCTCTTACATAAAGAGAAAAGATGCTTGGCTGAGTTGAGATACTTGATTTCCTCTCTGCTGTCAGATCTTTTATTTATAAAAATCTCTTGTGACTATTCCTGAACTGGTGGGTCCCTACGTAAGGGGCTCCCTTTCTAACCCATCTCATACCTCACTCCAACTGAACTAAAGGAAACCTGTGGAACAGGAATACAGTATTCAAACATCCTTGTCCAAAAAGCTTAAGAAAAACTGTGAAGAGGGAAACTTAAGATTAAAAAAAAAAAAAAAATCCTACTAAAATAAATTACGTAAAGTTCTGAAATCAACATCACTTTTGAGGCAACCTTTCCAGAGACCTCTTGGGTTCCTTTCTTCTCTGAAGCACCTTTTAAGTTGTATGGTTGTAAGAATAACTTTAACTATAGAAGCTATATGCATCTTTTAAGAATCACATTTTGATGATTATAAAAATTTATCTATTATACAACATAGGTCCAGCTACACTGAAAAAATTACACCGCTTATTGAAATACATTTCATTTTAGAAACAGACTACTAAATAGGTCTATACAAAAAACTCTAAAATAATTTCTGTAGTAAAATAAAGAGTGTGTTAGGAGAGCTACACAAACAAGAAATTTTTTTGTCTTTCTTTATAATGCTCAAATATACTGTGATACGTGGCTGGCTCACTCCATAGCCGGCACCAAAAGCTGAAAAGAATCCATTACGATACACAGTGATACAATTAATGCTCTGTATTAATCTCACAGCCTTTCCGATTAGTACAAAGAAAACCAGGCCTATCTCCTCTTTGAGGAGAAGTCCAGGATATAAAAGCAAGCATACCTCATCAGCTGATATGAAATTATAAAATTCCACAAGTCTCAGTATCTGAAATTTATAAAAGTCACCAGTAAAATGCAAGCAAATTGGGTTTAAGTCCTGTTGGTTCCCAGGTTCAAATGAGCACTGCTGATCCAAAACAGGATTTCCTTGTTTGTTAACTGATTCAAGGGAAAAAATTAGGACCATCTGCTGGGGCTAAGAGAAAAGACAAAGATCCTCACCAGCTACTTCCATGAGGGCATGTTTCCATGTGCATAAAATGGGAAAATAGCTGGCAGGAAGCAAAGATGTTAGTGGTGCTGTGCTGAACTGTTTTTTTCTGCCAAGTGTCGCAGAAAGTTGTCCTCACTCTGGCCTCTGTGATTTAAAGGCTCACTCTTAAAAAGAGCTGGAGGAGGGGGTAAATGAGGAACTGGGGGAACCGGGAGATGATGTGGATGATGAGGATGAGGATGTAAGTGAAGGTGTGAATACGGGTGGGGAATGGGCCGTGGAGGAAGTGTGCTCACTGGGTTCAGGTTGATAGGTGGAGTTGGGGTGATGGGTGTGTTCACTACAGCAGGGACTGTGGTGGCAGGAGAAGTCGTGGACAGCGGGATCTGGACAGCAGTTGACACGTTGACGGGGCTGGTAACACGGAAGCACTTCTCCTTGTGTGCCTTGAGCATGTTGGAGAAGCGAAATCGCTGGCCACACACATCACATGGGTAGGGCTTCTCTCCTGTGTGAGTTCTGCGGTGTCTCTTCATGTTTGGGCGGCTGGTGAAGCTCTTCCCACAGATTTCACAGATAAAGGGCTTCTCTCCTGCCAAACACAGATATGGCAATCATTTAGGCACAGAACATCTGCTAATACTTACTTCAGCATACTTATGCAAACTGCCTCCTACAAAAGCTACTGTGACTGCTACTTTCAGCAAATAAAGAGACAGCTGTTCTATGGAAGTCCTCAGTCTTTAAGAAATCCTCTCTCACCTTTGGATTTTGATGTACGAGACAATCTTTTATATAAGGCTTTGGCAAGGGGTTCCTTTAGACCAAAATAATAAGGAAGTAAGCCTAGCCTCTCCTTTCCCTCCCCAGTGAATCACAAGACTACAACAGACAGTTAGATTTAACAGTAAGTTATTAACCTTTCCTGCCTGATTTTCTAGGTTGGGTTAAGTTTTGATCCCAAATTCCAAGGAAAAGGCATACAGCTGGAAGTACGGGAACATTTTTGTCCTGGAAGTACTTGTGTTAAGTTCTTACCAGTGTGTGTTTTCATGTGCTCATCAAAGTACTGTTTCATGTTGAAGTCTTTGCCACACCACTGGCACATGAACTGTTTGTGCCCAATGTGGATGCTCATGTGGGAACGCAGCTGGTATTTGTACTGAAACCTCTCATCACAGTTCTGCAACAGACAAACAGCAACCCATGATAGTCAGGCATGACACATCAGGAAGCAAGGCAGCCACGGGACAGCGCTCAAACGTACTACACAAAGGAATAAAGAATATCTGAACTAGCGCACACACACACCCTCACACAAACGCAGAATTTAGATTATTTAGCGAGAAGAGAATTTGGTCTGTACTAAAAACTCCGTTGGCAGAAGAGCCTTGGCAAGGAGCGTGGAACAATCGCAACCTTTAGTTGACATGGCCCAGCAGAGACACGGTTATGCCAACAGAAAAGTGCTTCTGTTGGCTTAAGGTATCATTTGGAGGTTTTGCAGTGTTGCCAGCGATCTCTGATGAACTACAGCATGCCTCCACTAGAGGACTCTGCTCACACAGCAAATCCAACAGCAGCTCTACAGCAGCCTTGTTTTTCAGCAAGCCACTGTTTTCCAGCTATTATTTATTGGTATGAGGTAATTTCTTTCCCTACGAGTCTCACCCCCAGACTACTCTGGCTGCACTCCCGCCATTAGTACTATGTGTCTGGCTGGAGTTGTGCCCCACTTCGCGGACAGGGTGAGCCACCAGATCTGCCCTGGAAACAGGAGGGGCTCTGCACCCCCTCTCTGCCTCCATCCTGTGACACCCACAAGCGTCTTCATCAGAGAACTGAGGCATTAACTGCCACGGACACATGACTGGGTAAGCCTGTCCCATATGGCCTCCTTCCCGAGGGCAGGCATAAACTTACCATCACAAACACATGAGAATGCATCAGCGAGATACTCTCCCCCATCCCATTCCAACACACACACTCAGTTTAAGAAATGCAAATTCACTGTCTCAGATCTCAAGGAGGTAATAGTTTGCAGCGAGGACAACAGTTTTTCCCACAAGTGAAAATCAAGCAATAATTTGTTTATTTTCACTGTCGCCACTTCTATCTGTTTCAAGTTACTGGGCAGGACAGGGAGGATTAATGTAATTTGAATCAGGCTTTGCTACGAACACCGAGGGATTCAAGTCCTGCTGCACCATGTACTCATTGAGAAAAACATGACAGCCAGCGGTAAAAGCAAACCAAATACATCTCAGTTTGAACTGCTGCTAATGCACTCCTGCTGTGCTCACCACATGGAGAAGAATTTTCCCCAAATTTTTATGAAACTGCACCTCGTTTGCAAATCAGTCAATTCAGTTTCCACCTACATGCCCTACTGACAGCGTTACTAATTTTATACCTTATGCTACCGTATCTAAACACACTAACAGCTACTGCCTCACCTCACATCTGAAAGGTTTCTCTCCAGAATGCTGTAGGGAATGTACTTTGAGAGACATACTGCGTTTGAATGATTTTCCACAGGTTTCACATGTAAATGGCATATCCTTTGTGTGTGCTGCAACACAACAGTACATAAGAGAAGGTCATTCAGATGCAAACAGTTCTTTAAACCAATTCTTTTCTCCAGCTGTGAGCAGGACAATGATTACTACTGAACAGCTTAGAATTATATACAGAGACATACACACATACATATTTTGCTTGCTGCCCGTTACTATGGGTTTGTACTTTTTGCTAAGGATAAAGCTCAGAGAACTAAATTTGCCTCATTTTTCTCCTTAAAACAGCAGTTATGAGAATCACAAAGACACATTATGAGGCAGAACCAACAGAAGCTCCGATCAATAACTCACCAACCATATGTTTCCGCACGTGGGCCATGGTGTAAAACTTTTTTTCGCAAATCTCACAAGAGAATTTCTTTTCTGCATATCCGTGGACAATCTTGGTATGTTCATGGAGGGACCAGAGCTTCTTGAATGATTTATTACAGGAAACGCACTGAATGAATGGGATAAATAGAAGGAAGTTTAAATTAGAAAGATTCAGTGACTCGAGTTTGTGGAGTTAAGCCCCGCATCTTCCTCTTGCGTGAAAAAAAAAAAAAGCCCAGAACAAGTCAAAATGCTGTATGCTGTCTCAGACCATACTTCAGCTTACATTTACTGTTTCACACTTGAAACAATTACACTAATAGCCAGACCAAGCAGGATTAGGGAGGATGTTAACACACTGCATTTCAGTGCCACCTGACGAGCACCACAGCCACTGCACTAACTGATTTCCAAAACACAACAGCAGATATAGCTGAACGCAGCCCTCAAGGAGCTGACACAGAGAAGACAACTTCACGGGCACTGATGCTGCTGGTGCGGGAAGAATCCAAACCCCTGGTGTGGGAAGAAGCCAACAGAGGTGGAGGAGGCCAACACCACCAAGTTGTGCTAAAGCCATCTGCACGTCCAGCCCCGACTTTCGCAGGAGCGCTGGGACCCCTCAAACTCCAGGTCTAACAGCCTGTGACCTAGTCAAAGCTCTCTCATCCTTTTAGCTCTGTACAGAGGACGGCATCCACTTGCAGCTCTTGACCATGTGGACGGTTTGGTAGACAGCTCATACAGCAAAGCAAGTTGTCACCTCCATCTTGTCACGTTCTGAGTCTTCATGTATACATATCAGTAGCACTGTAGGTGTAAAATGACAATATGCAAACAATGTTTTAATCTCTTCCCACAACTACCGTGAAGTCAGCGATGAGCAGGATCCACAGGCTTTCATGCATCTCCTTTTTCCCCAATGGTTAGTTCTTGCTAAAGACTAGATTAAAAAAATAAAAATCCTTGTGCAGTTTTGAAAATTCCAGAACAACCTTAATTGTAAAACTTGATAGCAGACACAAACGTGACGATACCAAGTAATTTTCGTCTTTGAAGTAAAGAGGAAGGAATTGTGGCTTGTTATTTTTTGTTAGCTGTTGAGGTGTTTGGGGTTTCTGGTACATCTCCATTTCTCTGCCTCCATTTTTCTTACCCTCCTTCCCTCAAAGTAAGAAGGGCTCTATGCTGTTCACTGCAGAACTAGCAAATACCATGACTTCTGCAAATTCGAGTTGTTTCTTCTCTGCACAGACAAGTTACGCCGCTTCCACGGTGCTTGAATCTCTGTAGGCTTGGAAACTGGTACACCGCTCACCACGCTGTCTCCAAGAAGAGCCTCTGCTTCCAAAAGTACCTACTTGGAGGCATGGGAGGAACAAACTGTAGCCCTTGGGGGAAAAAAAACACCCTAGAGAGTAAAGCAATGCTAAGAAATGATAAAAAAAATCCTTTAAGGTTAAGCGAGCTCTTGAAGAGGTCGGTCTACAATTTAACTGACGATCAGCAGCAAGTAATTTAGAATACTAATACTGAGAGCTACTACACAGAGGGTCTAAGGTGACAACAGAAATTCTGTGAAGGTGCTAATTTTGAGAGGATGAAACCCAGAAATTACCTGGAAAAACAGATATATTCCATCACTTAGATGAAAAATATAGAGAGGAGCCAGCCATGTTTATCAGTTCAATTACCACTTAGATAACGAAACAGTTTTCTTCCTACTAGACAAAACTCCATATCCCCCTTGACATATTAAACCCTACATTAATGTAAAACTTTCATATCCCCTTACTCCTTTTGCCAAGTGTAATAAAAACAAATTAGCAGGCAGCTGTGAAACACATTCCAAATGTTAGGACAGACCAAAAAAAAAAAAAATATCGTTGAATATATGCTTATACTGAGAACTTGAAGATGACTAGCAGTGCTTCTGGCACTGGAAATATTTGGGAAAGTTTCTGGACCTGATTCTTCTGGTACTGGATATAAATTACAGTATCTACAGTTTCTTATTTTCCTATCACTTTTGGACATAGGAATGTAACCCCTCAGAAGCATATGTGTGCACAGATTACAGGATACTTCTCAATTCTATACCACACGTTCAAACTATTCAGGAATTCCTGTTTAAAATCAAAAGATTTTATGCTGTGAACGAGCCACCTGGATGACAGGGCACTCCTTAAATTGACATTTATATATTTTGTGCTACACTACACTTTTTTTTTTTCATTTATTTATTTCAAAAACCGCAAGGACATACTGAAATGTTTATGTATTTTACTAACTATACTCAAGACTCATTATCTTATACTCCTTCCTTCAGTCTTCCTCTTACGAGCTGAAACATAAGGAAAAATATCAGTGTTATATAGAGCTGCATGTAAGACAGCAAAGAGAAACTGCAATAAATATTTCATCTGTCTCCCACACAGCGAGAATTGAATACCAATTCAGTTTAGCATTTAAGCAAACAAACAAACAAAAAAAATCTTCCATCTTTCTGGTAAAACTCACTGGACAGAGAAAAAACTTGTTGCCCTGAGAGCTCTCAACATTACAGCTGCACAAAAGTTTAACTCAATCTGCTTCACGCTGGCAGGGGGATTATTTCAGAAGTAGGTGGCAACACTGTGCCTAGTTTTACAAGGCAAAAAAAAAAAGCCCATTTGAATTGCCAGATAAAACAACAGTGCCCCCAGTTACATGAGAACACAGATGCCTATGAGCAAAGTACAAACCACAGATGAATCAGAAACTCTGAAGCTCTTTCCACAACTTAAACTTTAAAATGGTTCTGTTACAACACAGGCTTCCATTGTTGTACAAAATTAAAAGCTGCAAATCTTCTGGTGAGAAAGATCAGAGATCTTTATATTATCAGTGAGGTTTGCTGAGCTTTTTACACTGGGAAAAGGGCAGGCTCATGAACAAATTTAGTCACCGAATTCAGACACTTCCATATGCATACCAGAACACTACTGTAAAATTACCTGTATGTAATTATCTCAGTAGGATTTTAGAAAAAGTTACATTTTAATACAAGTTCAAATCCTGACTTCACTAGTTTCTTTCTCACCTGCTTGCCTCTCAGGTATTTCACAGATTTCTGATTCCAACACCAGCAAAGTGCCATAATTCCATTCTGCCTTGAAACCTTACCTGGACACACTCTGTGACTGACTTTCAGGACACTGAAACACTTTGAACTTTAAAGCTAGTGACAGCTGCAGGTGCTCAGCACCTGATGAAGGAGGGTTTATCCTGTCAAAGGAGTTCACTGCAAATGCACTTGTTTTCAGGCCAGTTACTCTTGAGTCTGACATTTGTTAAAGTAGCTTTGCGTTTTCCCCAACTTGTAGTTAAATACTAGAGTAACTCTGCTAAAGCAGATGTCAGTTGTACACTCTGTTCCCTGCAATTTACTTCTTTTGGAAGACACCAAAGCGTTGATACGTAGAGACAAGGTCTCGGTCAGAACCTGGTCTGCGCAAAAGATTTCCCCCTCTGAAGTGTCCACTAGCTGTATCCAGGGCACGACAGAAGGTATGGAAATCTGGCAAGCAGGTGAGCAAACCTACCTGGATATTTTTTTCACAGTCTGTTTGCTGGTGAAGGGACAGCTCACTTTCTAGAACAAATTTCTTCCCACATTTGTCGCAGATCTGCATGCGCCTGTGAGTGACGTTCATGTGCTTCTCCAGGTACCAGCGTGTGTTAAACACCCTGGGGCACTTCTCACAGGTTAAAGTCTCCTTCTCTTCACACTTTGATTTCTGCACAGGTGCCTTGGGCTCCTTTGCAGCTTTCTTCTTACGCTTGGGGGGCTCCACACTCTTTCTACGACCCCTTGTAGTTCTGGGTGATGGGGAAGTTGTGGCTGCTGCAGCAGATGCAGCTCTCCTTGTTCTCCTTTGTGCAACACTAACTTTTTCCACTCTTTTCTCTTTTTTCTTCTGCCTCTCATTTTCCTCATAATCATCACTGTCTTCAGTGGCCTCTTCCCCACTGTCACCCTCCTCTTCCTCACTGCTGGTCTTAAGAACAGCAGTCTCTTTGGACTGGGAGGGGACACCCTTCTCCCCTTTTGATACATTTAATGTTTGGTTGTTAAGGTTTACCTCTACTATAATCTGCTCCCTTTTGTAAGTCACTTCATCTTCCTCCTCCTCTTCCTCCTCAGAGTCGTCAGAGTTTTCTCTATCTTCTTTCACAGCCCGGACCTCTCCTACCGTTCTGTTCTCCCTGAAATATGGCTGCTCCTCTCTTTCATGGAGATGTGGTTTACTCATTTTGCTGTCCACCAACACAGAGTAAGGACTTCCTGACTCTCTCTTGTACACTTTGGTGGACAGATCAAGTTCCTGGCTGGCACCATGATAAAACGTGGGTGGCACTTGACCACGGCGACTGTCCTCTTGCGCCATCCCTGCTACATGAGCGGCACAGTTTTCAACCAACTGTTGGCAAGAATTGGCTGTTTGACTCATTTGGGGGGCCCTGATTCATTGAGCACCTTTAATCCCAGAAAAAACAAGTAAGCAGCTTTAAATCAGGATGGGCTTTCAAGATCGATGCCTTTTCCATCTACACAGAATGAAAAAAGTATGATTTTCTGCTGGTGTTTAGCACTGATGTGTAGGTCACAGAATGCTGGTATTATGGCAAGAGCAGAGCAGTAGTAATTATTCTTCTGGAGAAAGTTGCCAATGAACCGTTGAGCATTTTATCTATAAAAGACAACAGAGAAAACAAAGTCAATTAAAAAATAAATCACTGAAATCATCAGAAAATTCTTCTGGTTTGAGTTTGCACAACTGGGATAAAGCCCAGGGTGTATTATCTATGAGCTGTATCTGCTGGGGGTGCTGTCCTATAGCACTGTCTCAAGCAAAACTAGCAGTTAGGTACAAAGACGTGTGCCTTCTGTGGGGATCAGAACTGGTACGAGACTCCAGAGATATGGAAATCAAAGCAGGGAATATTCTCTGTCTGCCAAAGATCACGCCTCAATACCGGGCCAGGATGCTGGTCTGTGTTTCTGCTGGACTCTCGGGAGCACTGATGGCCCCAAGACTCTGCCCTACTCCCATCCACCTCTCATCAAGCGAGGTGATACCTACACAGAAATGCTTCTTCTCCTGCATCTCCCAAAGGGAGCCAGCCCATCCTTACCCAGAAAGGGGACATATTATACCCAACAACATTCCATTAATGTAGATATGCATGAAGAATTTCAATGGACACATTTTCAACTTGCAGCACTAAATCAGATTAAGAACACCGTGTCCACTGCTTGTTTCCACCTCAGAGATCCCTCATACAGCCTCTTAATTTAAGGCACTTACTCTTTTGTCTCATTCTCCCTTCCCCCAGCTACTTATTCCTCAGTGCAGTAGCCAAACAATATGACATTTGCCCATCTAAATTTCACTTGCAGTTATCCAAGTTGGAATTTGACCAGAACACTGTTACTTCCTCTTGCAAAAAATGCCACGTGATCCCTAATGAATACAAGTAATCATGCTCTCACATCTATTTTCCACCAGGAAAATTACATTTTGCTAGCACAGTACTGCAACATCAAGCCAGGATTTTCGGCTGTGAAGATCAAATCAGAAATACATTGGAACTCCTGACCAAACAGCATCCTCAGAGCTAAACCTGTGAGGGTGCAGAAGAGAAGGACAGACACAGCCTAAGAGACATCCCAGGACTAGAGGACAGAGAAGGGCCCTAACAGAAAATGGATGGATTGAGCAGCTAAATATGAAGAAAACTGGATCCCTGCTATCAGAATGTGAAAATTTCCTCGAGGCTATAAGCTTGGGCTAAGTCTACCAGACAGGTATAAAACGCTCGGATTTCACAGAATCATACAGCTTTTTTTATTAGTAGTATTCTTGGAACAATAAAAAACAACCAACCTAAAGCAGTATGACAGACAGGTATTTTTATGATAAATTTCCTTCCACATCATACTGAGTTAAAATACTCTCCACACTACAAATGCAGTAGCTTCCATCCAAACACGTTTTGCTACAGTTTATGTATTATTAGTTTCTATTTCACTCTTCCACCAGAAATTTCCCCCTTTGAAGTGAATTTAACTGAACAGGAGATGAACCTAACAATGGTCTTGGTGGTTTGAATAATAAAGACTGAACTGTGCCCTACAATCTCTGTGAAGTGACATACTGGGAAAAGCAACGGACTAATAATCAGTCATCTGATTTCAAAAATCTGGTTTAATTAACTCTGAACTGGTAGGGTTCTCTGGTATTTCCAAATGGACTCAAAGACTGCCCTGAAGATGCCTGACAGGTCCCAGCTTCCCAGCTCCAGAGGTGAGGCAGGAAGAGGAGCGCCAAGACCCAGCTGGGCCAGGAAATACACGGAGATGGGCTGTTAACGTTGGCTTGTGATCACAAGTAATATTGAGATGGAAAAGCTAGTAAATAATAAAATAAACTGGTTGTGATTGCAAGCCAAAGTTAACAACCCTATGCCCAAGGAAGGCCCTTAGAAAGCAGTGGGCATGATGAAATCTAGTTTAGCTTTTCCTTTAACAAAATTTAATGAATTATTCAGAAGCTCAGAAAAATCACTATGTCATGTAGAAAACGATACCCGATTATTTCCTCAGCGTATTAAGCCTCTCAAGTTGCACAAGTAAATCAGGAAGGCTATCGGAATGCTGCTGCTAGATAGCCAGGAAAAGCAAAAAGCTTGTCATGAAAAGGAAGCTTTACCACCCCCCCACCATTTACTGAATGTCAAAATATTCTCTTTACATATCCTGCCATCATTTCACCTCTGTTCATTTAAGGAATATTCTGTATAATAAACCACTTTGTACGAACACAGTACCACTTCAAATAAAAACAACAAAGGGGCTTTTTCTGAGTTATCAAAGCTATTTGGTCTTAAAACCACTTCACTCTGCAGAATCAGTAACCTACTTTCACTTTGAATACACCGCCTGCTACCCTCAAGGGACCTGCAACTTTCGAACAACATTATTTAACAGTCAAACAGCTGGTAAAGCAAAGCTCTCCTTATACACTTAATGCCATCAATGCATTACTAGACTACTGACAGTTCTGACACTATAGTTTAAATACTGCCCGAAATATTTCAATAGAAGAGTCTTTTTCTTCCTTAAATTTCTAATCCCAAATGTAAGAAAGCAGCATTTGGGTGTTTTTATTTTTGCATATTTTTTTTTCTTCCTTTTTAAAGGTAAATCCACTTTTTTTCAAAGCTGCTAAAACAGCTTGGGCTCACAAAATGAATTTCAGCCATACTACAAAAGGGAGCAATACAGGTTCTGATTAAAATGTAAAAAGGACACACAGCTTCAAAGCAATTTTTGAAGCAGCCTATCTAGATATAAACTGAGGAATAACTGTATTACAAGCACAGAATGAACCTGAGGTGCATGCAACCCTTAGCATTCAAAAATCATACAAGACAGGTTTGCAAGCCTACAAATATTAAAAGTTCAAACCCAGAAAAAAGTACAAACAACTTGCAGACAAACGTGTAGGTGGAGGAAGCATGTGTATGTGGGAGCAACACTTCTTACAATGCTTCTGCTACTTCTAAAAAAACCCCAAACCCGCCTTTCTTCACATTATCTGTACTAAAATTAGAACAATTTACAACAGAGACTGCTAGCACAATTACCTGCCCCAACTGTGGCTCAACAGATGCCCTGAAATCAGCACAGACCAAGTGCAAGGTGTTCAGGTTAAACGACTTTAAATTACGTGTCCTTAGTTTGCCCTCAGAAAGGGACCAGTCTAACAGTCTGGCTATCTCATATTTTCGCCTAACCTGTGCCAAGGCCGTACGATTTGACTTCTGGCCAGCATCCACCAGAAGCAGACACTGATGTAAAGAAAAACACTGCTTCTCCCAGCTTTTGTAGTAAGCGAAGCGGCTGCAGAGTCATTTCTGCCGATCAAGGCTCCCTGTGAGCCACTGACCCCTGCGTGGCCTCCAGCTGTTCGCCTGCCATGCAGAGGGGCTGCCAGCTCCACAGATGTAACACTTAACTGCTCATTCTTCCTGCCTGGATGTTTCTGGTGCCTCCCATGAAAGGACAGAAGAGGCACTTCGGGGCACTCCACAACCAGTGATGACCCTGCCACTCCTGGTCAATGTGATAGTGGCCTAATTTTATTTATTTATCTATTTATCTATTTATTTATTTATTTATTGTAATCAGTTTAATTGCTGCCCATAGAAAAGTTATCAATATTAGCTCTGAAAATTGACAGATGCTGGTCTAATTCACTTTGCTGTAGGTTGGCAAGTCTAGAAGCACTGCAGGCACAAGGGTGATTTGTCTACAGACACAAAGACAGCACTGTACGATTTATGACTTTGTTAACATCTAGAAGTGAGGGGAAACACCATTCTTCCCAGATAGCCATTAAGGACCAAAAAATTCCTTTAAAAAAAAAAAAACAAACCAAAACCCAACCCATTCCGCAATTCACAAATCAGTGCATTTGCCACAGAAGTTTTACACACACCATAAGGAAAAAGAGGAGGAAGAGTAAGAGCTTGGGGCTTTCCTGCAGCTCACCTATTTCATGCACAAAAAGTGAATACTATGAAAAAAAGATATTGCGATAGTCAATGTCCAAACATGAAAAATGCATTAATTTATTAGCCAGCCATTATATTCTATCTTTGTTATAACACAGCCTTTCAAGATAGGAACAGAATACTATTTTTTTTTTTTGTTTCTGTTTACTAGATACTTGTACTAGATTTCACTTCCAGCTTGGTACAGTAAGAAGTGCTCACAACCTTAATATAGCTCACAAGACACCAAGACAAAATTATTCCTCCAAAAGTATACAGCACCTAACACGTGGGGGAATCTGAGCCCCAGTTAACCCTGCAGCACAGAAATACCACACACCTTATACAAGCATCACAAATAATCTGCACACTTCCTTTACAACACAAGACCTATAATTTCACGCGAGACAACCTCCAAAACTTCTTTTTCTTCCCCTTTTCAGCTTAAAGGCAGGTAGATATCGGCTCAACAGCAGCTTTTTAATGGATACAATCAAGAAGTACTGTGGGGCATGGACAGGTTGTCCATTCTGCCATTTCAGTATATGGCCCACTATATATAAAACCAGATTCAAGGAAAAAGTTTGAGTACCTTGAAATCTGAATTTTCCTTTTCCCTAAAACAAGACTTTTCTCAAAGTACAGTTAGAGAAAGTAAAAGTTAAGAAAAAGATTATAACCATGTTATGATTAAAGGCAATGCCATTTTGCATATGCATCAACAATCTGAGGTTTTTAAGAATCCTGGATGCCTTTTGGTTGGAAGCTACAATCCAGCAGCTCCATCGAGTCCTGCGGCAACCAGATTTGCACGCAGTTTATGAGTGGGGAAAACAACCATGTACATCAATAAATAATTTACATTATTTAAGATAATGCACCAATTTCAAACTAAGCCAAGTAGCTGTTGAAGAAACTACCCTCAGAACAGAAGTAAGACAGTGGTTGCAGGTTGGAGGGATTAATTAAATAAAGCTCCAACGTTACGCCAAACCTGGGACACGTTACAGCCTGGCTACTACCCAAATTTCTAACCAAAACCAGAGTGCCAGCCAGCTTCCCTGCTTCCTTTTTACTCATCAGGTAGAAATTTCTAGTACAGCTAAAACCTATGTGAATTCAGACTGCAAGT